CTTCTTCTTGTTCTTCTTCTTCTTGTTCTTCTTGTTCTTCTCCTTCTTGTTCATCTTCTTCTTGTTCTTCTTGTTCTTCTCCTTCTTCTCCTTCTTCTCCTTCTTCTCCTTTTTCTCCTTTTTCTCCTTCTTCTTTTTCTACTTCTTCTCCTTCTCCATCTTCTCCATCACTATCCGATGAGGATCCTAGAGTTTCACTACTCTCCTCACCGTCTTCTTTCTCCTTCTCGCCGCCGGTCTCCTCCTCTGCCACAACCGCCGGCGCCTCACGGAAATCGGCCAATGCTCCTTCTTCCTCGTTTACTTCTGGAGTTATCTCTTTCTCCCCGGCCGGCGGAGAATTCTCATCCGCCGAGAGAAACTCTTCGTCCGCCGCTTTGTCTACTTCCCCTTCCCCAATGGGTTCTTCTTCGGCCGCTTTTGCTTCTTTTGCTACTTCCGCCGCTTTTGCTTCTTCGGCTTCTTCCACCGGCGCCGCTCGCACCAATGCTTCTTCAACCATTTCTTTCTTCTTTCCCCTTCTTGTTTCAACCATACTTCTTGCAATCAATGTCAATACTCAAGATGATACTCGATGATTGCTCAAAATGGAGAGAAACTGAGAAAAACTACTCGAATTCAAATCTGAGTTCTCGACACTTAGAGAGAAAAAGAGAAGAAGAAGAAACGGTTCGATTAGGGATTGGAGTTTTTAATTTTTTCAAATTTTTGTTTTTTTCTTTTTTATTATTTCGGGTTTCTGGGTTATATTAATGGGTGGGTGGATATATCCAGGTTTTTGATGTAATAATACAGTTTTGACGAAGATACAGTTGTAATTGAAGTGTTTTTCGATTTAAATAAAAAACAAAAAACAAAGAAAGAATAGAAAGGGAGAATAGCGATTGTTCCTCCCCAAATAAGGGCACACGAGACGATTTCTCCTTCCATTGACTAAAGAAAACGACAAAACTTTTCAAAACGGTCTTCCACCGTCACTTCACCAAACCTTTCTCTCTCGATCTCTTTCTCTTCCAATGTCTAACACGGGACTAATGATCTTCGACGGTGAAGTCCTCAGATCCATCGATATCAGCTTACCGGAACTCCAACACAACATCACCGGAGCTCAGCTTCTCGAAATCTCCGAATCCAAGGTTTCTAAATCCCTCTCAGGACTCACTCTACCACCAAATCTTAAAAACGCAGCGGTCTCCCAAGTCTCAGATGGAGATGACGTCACTTTCCGTCGTACGGAGTTTAATCAACAACAAGCATCTGAGAAACTCGGAGTTTTCATCTCCGCCGTTGCTGATACTCTTAGAGGTATAAGATTGGATCTGTGTGTGATTTTGAAATAACGAGAACGATAGGGTTATTGATTGATGAAGATAATTTTTGTCATAGATGCTCCAGTTGTGGTATCAGTTCTTGATGGGAGTATGTTGAAGATGTTTTTGGAAGATGAAGATGATTTTGCAATGTTGGCTGAGAATTTGTTCACTGATTTGGATGAAGAAGATAAAGGAAAGCTTTGTAAAAGAGAGATACGTAATGCTCTTGTACATATGGGTGTTGATATGGGTGTTCCTCCTCTCTCAGGTTTTGATTCTTTCTTCGCTTTGCTGTGTATTTTGTTTGCCTTTTACAAGTTTCAGTCACTGAATCGTAATCCTTGTGCTAGTTTTTTTATTAGTGTAACATCAATCTTGTATTTTTGTGTCATGTATATCTGCTTGTGCTATTTGTGGTTTAGGATTCAATATTCTCCAAAAGTTATGTTCCTCCACTCTCAGGTTTTGATTCTTTCTTTACTTTGGTGTGTATTTAGTTTCCCTTCTACAAGTTTCAGCCTTGGTTCATTGTCTTGGAATCGTAACCCGTTGTGCTAGTTTGTGTATTAGTGTAACATCAATCTTGGATTTGTGTGTCATGTATATCTGCTTGTGCTATTTGTGGTTTAGGATTCAGTATTCTCCAAAACTTATGTTCCTTCCCTCTCAGGTTTTGAATCTTTCTTTGCTTTGCTGTGTGTTTAGTATGCCTTCTACAAGTTTCAGCCTTGGCTCATTGTTGTGGAATCATAACCCGTTGTTAGTTTGTGGATTAGTGTAACATCATCTTGTATAAGTGTGTCATGTATATCTGCTTGTGGTATTTGTGGTTTAGTATTCAATATTCCCTAAAAGTTATGTTCCTCCACTCTCAGGTTTTGATTCTTTCTTTACTGTGTTTTAAGTTTGATTTCTACAAGATTCAGTCTTGTTCATTGTCGCGGAATCGTAACCGTTGTGCTAGTTTCTGGAATGATTTTGTGATCCCTGAAATCAACACTTTAGAAATTAGTTTAGCAGAAACTTTCTAGTAGTTAACATAGTATAGTGTGTAATGTATGTATGCTAGTGGTAATTGTGGTTTAGGATTCAATATTCTCCAAAAGTTATGTTGCCTTTGGATCATTTCGTTCTCGTTGTTGTTTTAACATAGTTGGGGATTGTTTGGAACAGAATTTCCCATCTTAGATGATATCATTAAGAAGCATGATGCTGATGGTGATGAAGAACTTGGACAAGCACAATTTGCGCAACTATTACAGCCGGTTTTACAAGAAATAGCTGATGTCCTACATGAGAAACCGGTAACCATTGTCCAGAACGTTGAGATTTTCACTGGATCAAGGCTGCGTAAGGTTAGTTAGTTCACTCTCTTTTTGCTGATAAAGTATAGAATCTCTAAAGCATGATTCGTTTAACTAGCTTGATCAATCTTTTATCTCAGATTCTTGCTGACGAGAAGACACTCAAGTGTCTCGTAACGAAAACAATTCTAGAACTGTCGAACGAGAAAGACAGCCAAGGACGGGCAGATCCTATAAAGACTTTGATATTATCAAACGGAAAAGAGTTGGGATTGCCTCCTTTATCTTCAGAGAACGAGCCAGTGGCTCTTCTGTATGAGACAATATTTTCTCAATTGAATAACAGAGACAAACAAACCGCAGCTGATGCTTCAACAGAAGATGGTTTGATGGATTCTCTAAAGGATATACTAAGAAAATTTGAGGATTTACTCGAAACCGCACCGGTATATTCAGCTACCAATATCTAGAGAAAGCCATTATATTCTCTGTAAATTGGCCATTATTTAAGGCATATTAATGTATATTTACGAATTTCAATCACACGTTATCTTATACTTATAATGAAACAGAGGGAGTATATATTATGTGTATGTTATCAATATAGCTATTTGCATTTGAATGAAGCTGTTGCTGAGTAAGGATGGTTTTAAGACGAACGTAATTTCCAACACCTAGGAGTTGGCATGGACTGTTCTTGAGTAAGGATGAAGAGATAATATTCCAATTTCCGATTATTCAGAATTTTGATATTGTCCATGAAAAATGGAATATAAGAATATCCATTAAGAGATATACATATAAATATGCAGAATATTCCACAAAATACGTATAAATTCTTTTAATATATTTTCTTAAACATAATGATTTTTTTTCGGTTCTCCATGGTTTTTTCCTTTACCGCCCAACAATGTCTACTACATAAAAAAAAAAAAAAAAGTTTAGTTTTGGAGATATTTTGAAGGTATTCTTCTATTTGTTATATATATTTATTTTTCATCGACATATAATATATACATTTTAAACATATTTTTCACAAGCTATATATGAAAGCAATATGAATCCCTGTTTGCGTCCTGATATTTTAATCACAAGCCACAAATATTTGATATTTTCAAGTTATATATCCAAATATCGAAGAACTCAAGAGAAGATAACAACGTGTGACAATTCAAGCCGAGGAATGGGGACAAGAAGTGAAGGGCAGAGAAAGAACGGTGAGTGATCCTTAAGCCCTAGAGATGTGTAATAAAGAAAGTGATAAGTTAAACGATATCTCAAACCACTTGGTCACACTGGTCCGTGTGACAGGACCACAAGACATCAAGTTGACGATGATGTTGATGAGCATACATACTGTGAAAAGGACAACAATGATAGATAAAGTAATAACCGACTTAACAATTGAAACTTTTGCAACTAGAGATTAACAAGAATGAAGGGTTTACTACATAAATAAAGAGTGATTAAGAGAAGAGAAGAACAAAACCCAAATCCAAAACACTTATTATGATTGCTTTTTTTGGTAGGAAGCTACCTAAAATGTATATCTAAACATTTTGTTGAACTTAAAAGACCATATTATGAGCATGAATTATACTGTAGTAAATCCCATATCCATTCACTCTTTTCCATCGGCAGCGCGGAGTGAGCCTAGCTGCACCGGTGCTTGAGTTCCAACCACCTTTGATGAACCGTAAAGCGTAACATCGCTTCCTTTTGCTTTCTCTTTCTCGATCTGTTCCTTTATCCAGAAGTAGGTTATTCTAAGCCCCTCCTGTTTAATGATCATGGTCAAAAGAAAATCAGAAATTAAACCCTTGTAAAGTAATCAGGTTGTTTTATTGTCTTTGAGCTACTTTTAAGTAGATAATGTTGGTACCTTCAATCTCATATTTGGAGCCCAACCAAGCTTTTCTTTGATGAGATTGTTGTCTGAGTTACGGCCACGAACACCTTCTGGGCCTGGAATGTGCTGAATTGGAAGCTTCTTTTCCTCAAAACTGAGAACCATCTCAGCCATCTCATTCATGCTCACCATCTCATCGCTTCCGATGTTCACTGGCTCACGGAAATCAGATTTTGTCAACCTAAAAACAAAAATGCGGAAAAAGTTCAGAGAAATATATGTGATATAATAATGTCAACAATTATAATTTGGGGCTAATGCCCTCACCTGAGTACACCTTCAACACACTCATCAATAAAGGTAAATGAGCGGGTTTGAAGACCATCTCCCCACATCTCAAACTTATCTGTGGAGGTGAGAGCCTTTCTGCAGAAAGCAGCTGGAGCCTTCTCCCTTCCACCTGATTTGACCGAAATCCACAGCAAATATTAATCACAATGGTACACAATTAATTATCCCATTAATCATTCTCACAAAGTCTGAAAACTGTTTGTTTCTTTGGTTACCTTTCCACGTTCCAAAAGGACCATAAATGTTATGGAACCTTCCAATGCGGCACTCAATTCCGAAATCTTTGTTGTAATGCTTGCACAACTCCTCCGTTGCAAGTTTCTCCAAACCATAAGCATCTTGAGGCTATATTAACATTCCAAAATCTAAGTATGTCCTCACATACAAAAGACTACTTATTTTTTGCAAGAACACATAAGGGCAACACAAACCTCTGCAGGCCAAGCATCTGACTCCTTAAGGCTCACATTAGTAGTTTCCAGCTGCTTAAACTCCGGATAGATACACGCACTAGAAGCATAGAAGAACCTAAAACACACAAACAGACAAACAAAAAAATTACAATCTTGAAACTTGTTTACTTAAACAACAAAACCCAAGAAACACAAATCTAACCTCTTAATCCCATTGATCCTAGCAGCCTCAATCATGTTGAAACTAATCATAGTATTGTTATACATAATCACAGAATGGTTGGACTGGATAAAACCCATACCACCCATATCAGCAGCCAAGTTAAACACATGATCAACACCTTTAGTGACCTTGAGACAATTCTCCATAACCCTAAGATCAACAAGGTGGAACTCATCACAAAACATATCTTCAGTCATATGCTCATTCTTCTTCCAATCAGAAGCAATCACGTAATGCCCTTCATGCTTCAAACGACGAGCAATGTGAGAAGCAATGAAACCACCAGCACCAGTGATTGATATCTTAAGCTTCTCAGATGGCCAATAAGGCTCCCTCTCAAGCTCCTTGTATGTGTAAGCACCATAATCAGTTCCATTGGTAGTTCCCATTCTACAACCAAATACAAAAACACAAATCTCTCAATAACACAAATCTATTACAATTAAAAAACAAAATTTTATACAGGAACAAGATCTCATGCAAAAAGGGTTTAGGTAATTTCGACACAAATCACTGTACAAATCACTAATACCATAAAAATTAAATTTTTATACAAGAACAAGATCTCATACAAAAAGGGTTTTGATAATTTTATACAAATCACTGATTCCAGAATTAGCCACATTGAATTCGACAAGAGTTGCCCAGAAACTATGAAGAAGAACCCTAAATTACAGAATCAGAAAATAAGGAATTGGCGAGAAAAATTGGATCTTTACCTGAGAAGAGATAATGCAGAGAGAGAAAAGAGAGATGTGGAAGGCTAAGAGATTTGTTTAGGGAGAGAAGAGAGTTGTATTATATATACATAGAGAGAGAGAGGAAGAGGAAGATGAAGAGGAAGGTGAATAGAGCAACACCACTCGTTCGTTTTTGTTTTTCCAACTCTTATTCGTATTTGTGCTTATCTGTGTTTTCTTTTAATGGACTTAATAATATTAAATTAATAATCATCCGAAAATAAATAAATAAGTGAATTTTTTTTTGTTTGACAGCATTAGTGAAATTTAATTTTTCATAATTGATGAACTAATATTATCCAAGAATAATAATTCATAAAACTACTGAAATTTAATTTTCACGAATAATCATCTAAAACTCTTAAAAAAATAATAGTGAAAATTATATTTTGTTAATTAGTTATAATTTTGAATTTTAGATTGAAAATATTTGTGTATATGTATATAAAAAACTATTTGTGTATATTAATAGGGACTGGCATCCATTACTCGGTTTTATTATTTGGGTTTGAATTTTTTTTTGAGAGTTTTATATATGAATTTAGTTGGGAAAGAAATAAATAAAGTTTCCAGGAAAGTGTATTCAACTTTAGTTTTAAATAAAATTTGAGTTTTCATGAGGTTTTTTGTTTTGTTTGTTAATAATTTTGATAATTTTTGGTGAATTTATGAAACTTGTTAAACTTTGTTATAAAAAAATTTCAAACTTAAATCTTTGAGATTTAGATTTGATGTGTGTTTGAAGTAAGAAAATCCTCTATAATCTCTTAAAGTTGTTAATATTTTTTTCTTTTTTTAGTAGGAGGGAGGGGAAAAATCCCCCACATTTATTAAAGAAAAACTAAAAGACCCTTCCAAGTTTTTTTTTTGTAAACTCTTTTCCTGCTTATTTTGTTAAGTCAGAGAATGTCATTTTCATATAAGTTTGGTTGACAAAAACTAACTAAAAAAATACTCCCTCCGTTTCTAATAGATAATTTTTCTAGGAAATAAAATTTGTTTCAATTGTTTTAAATTATCAGTGAATTATTAATTACAATTTACAAATTTCAAAGTAAATACCTAGAAAAATTATCTTTTAGAGAACAAAGGAAATATAATAGAACAGGCTGAAAAGAAAAAAATTAACTAAAAAACTAAAATAATTACTAGTTTTCCAAATTATCAATAACACTATTTCAGAAGATTTTTCAAATATCATAATTAAATAACATACACATTATTTTAAAGTCAAATAGCTACAAATGCTTATTGAATATATCTTTCTATAAATAATCAAGTCCAAGTCAGGAATCAAATAATTTTTGGTTAATCATGATTTATTTTTTGCCAAATAAATTATGCTCATTTGAATGAATTAATATTTAAGTTCCAATTTAGTTTCAAAATTTTCAGATGAGTTAAATAAATTTTAGAACGGTTGAAGATATTTTTGGACTATAGTAAAATACATATTGATATTATATTTTTCGGTGATTTAAATTAGTACGTTTTATAAATGCTCTCCCTTCCTTTTCTTATCGTCATGGGTCCTTTTGTTTCCTAATAATACACATGGAAGAAAGTACAACAATATGTAACTCATGACAAAATATCATATCTACCTCGTTAAAAAGTGACAACTCACTACACAAATAAATCCTCTTATGTATTAAAAGAAAAGTACACATTTGACATCTCAAAATTATGGCCGAAATTTCCCAAATTACCTATCAGTTATTAGAAAAGAGAAGCTTTATTAAAATTAAGAGGGGTAATTTAAGTCAAATTGTCAAATTAATGACCTGCGGCGGACCCAGCGCCCAGGGGGACAAGCCACATTTGATAGGGGGAGAATCAGTAAACTCAACCTTTTTCATTGGGCATGGAAAACATAGGCCTCGGCCATATGCAGTCATTCGTATCTATGAGTGTTAATAGTATTATTACAAAATAATAACCTGTTTAACTAAAGCCAGCCAAATAAGCACTAAATGAAAAAATAAAATCATATTTTTGATTGTGCTTCGCTATATGGGATATTCACCGATTACATAATTAAAATTTTTTTGCTACTTCAGTTATATTCATGTCATTAACGTAATATGCTATCTTTCCAAAATTTCAAATACACACGTTTGTTGAGAAAAGAAAAAATTGTGGGTTATGTAATTTTAATATTCATTTTTAGATTAGGTTACATAAATAATTAATTTTAATATTAACTTTTAGTTTCTCATTCTTGCATCACCATCAATATGTTTTCGATATAGAGACTCCTGGTAACAAGAGTTCAAAGGCGAGCCGAGGCATTTGTGTGGTCAACACGGACTGTTAAAGAGGTAGTTGAGATTACCTCATTTCATGTACCCATTTCATATCAAAAATACTCATCATGAGAAGAGTCCAAAACCGAGCACATACATTTGAAAAGGCAACATGGGAAATAATTTCTCATTCTTGCACCACCATCAATCTACTTCCGATTTAGAGACTCCTGGTAACAAGAGTCTAAAGGCGAGCCAAGGCATTTGTGTGGTCATTTCGGGACTGTTAAAGAGGTAGTTGAGATTACCTCATTTCATCTACTCAATTCATATAAAAAATACTCATCATGAGAAGAGTCTAAAACTAAGCCGAGGCATTTGAAAAGGCAACATGGGACATAATTTCTCATTCTTGCACCACCATCAATCTGTTTCCGATTTAGAGACTCATCATTAGAATAGTCTAAAACCAAGCCAAGGCATTTGTATGGTCAACACGGGACTGTTAAATAGGTAACTGAGATTACCTCATTTCATCTACCCATTTCTTATCCAAAATCTCATCATGAGAAGAGTCTAAAACCGAGTCGAGGCATTTTTATGGTCAATACGGGACATAATATCTCCTTCATGCACCACCACAACAATTCTGTTTATGATTGAGAGACTAATTGTTATAAGAGTCTGAAACGAACCGAGACATTTGTATAAGTAATACGGGACTGGTTTTTGTATGCACCAACATCTATATATATAAAGTTAGCTTTTTCTCTCTTCTCCTTAAGCCACATCATCATCCACCTCATTTTATTATTTAATTTTTAAAATTAATTATACCATTTTATCATTTAATTTTATGATTTAAATCTATATAAATAAGTTTTTCAAAAAGGAATATGAAAGGTCTTTTTTATATTATACATTATAAAACTAAAAAAGATGATTTGTTTAAAAATTAAAAAAACTTACTAATTATCGATTATACAATCTATATATATAAAGTTAGCTTTTTCTCTCTTCTCCTTAAGCCACATCATCATCCACCTCATTTTATTATTTAATTTTTAAAATTAATTATACCATTTTATCATTTAATTTTATGATTTAAATCTATATAAATAAGTTTTTCAAAAAGGAATATAAAAGGTCTTTTTTATATTATACATTATAAAACTAAAAAAGATGATTAGTTTAAAAATTAAAAAAACTTACTAATTATCGATTATACAATCAAATATATAAATAATAGATTATAGTTTGTAGTGAATGTTTAAAATATATATATATATATATATATATATGATTATATTTACACAATGTAAACCTAAATATAATGGGATTAACGGGAGTACAAAAGAAAGTAAAACTTTTTGAGAATATAAATCTATCTAATTTATGTCTCACAAAATTTTCTAACATAAATGAGATAGGTCGGACCAAAACATGAATTCTCATTTTTTAAAAACGTATAAAAACGTAAAAATAAAAATAATATTTCTTTAAAGGTTTTCAATATGAATTTAACTAATTTTTTCCAATACAACACATATGTTAAACTAATAAACAAAATAAAAAAAGTAAACTATATTTCATAAAAATTGTAAATTAAAATAAAAAACATTATTAAATGAAATAAACTAAATATAAAGTAAATCTTACTAATATGTTAAATTTAAAAATTGTTCCATATGAAAAAACAAAAAATATATAAAACATAAAATCAGAAACAAATATATAATAGTATAAAAATGATCATTACGAGATATAAAATACGACAAATCCAAAAAAGAAAAACGTAAAACAAAAAAAATAAATTATGACAATATATAAAGAGATAATGTAAACAATTAAAAATACAACAATCCGCTCGAAACCCACAAATTATGATCAAATTTCATGCCAACATATAAAAGGGCCAAAAATATTAACATCTAGATCTATATTTGGTAAAAACCCTAATAGCACACGTTTCTCAATGATTCTTCACTGCACTTCCGTTTACGCCCACACTTCGACTTATACTATACACACTTAATTTCTCAACAACTAATGAAGTTAAAACAATAAAACTCAATAGTTTTTCTATACAAAATCTAAACAACAATCTAAGTTTTTAAAAAGTAAAGTATGGTATAGTAAAAATAATAAGTAGAAAATAAAATACAAACCAATTTCTCATAAACAACATAATAAACTCCCGCGCGTAGCGCGGGCAACCGACTAGTTATACATAAACTCATCATAAAAAGAGTCTTAAACCAAGGAGAGGCATTTGAATATGCAACATGCGGCTGTTAAAGAGGTAATTAAGATGACCTCATTTCATTTCATTTACCCATTTTTCAATAAAACCGAACCGACTTTGAAAGACAACAAGGGACATAACTTCTTATTCATGTACCACCATCAAATCTGTTTTTTATTTATACTTATTGTTAGAAGAGACTATAACAAAGCGGAGGCATTTTTATGGGCAACACGGGACTAAATAAAGAGGTAATTTAGATTACCTTGTTTCATCGATACTTAATCTAGATCAACTAATGCATATTTGAGAGAAGAGAAAAGTCAGTTTCCTGAATTATCCTTCACAATGAAAAATAACACGTGTAATTTTTCAATATTGGTTGACGTTGTAGAGAAATATTTGGAATCATGAATCTTCTTTATGATCATCACTTTGATCTGTTTTGCAACCATCTCAATCAACTCATTCTGAATCTAGTGACTAAGGTAATGAGAAGAAATTTCTTTTTTTCTCAATTTCCCTGACATGTTCCCTCATGCCTGTATCAAACTCTGAATCATCTCAATAATAGCAAGAAAATTCCCATTATTCGGCTCACCAATTTTTTCACTATCCCCACGGAATGCCAAATTTATTTAAGCCATAGTTTTCACCACTGGAAATATTCTCAATAATATTTCTCTCCAATGCCTTGTTTTTCTCTCTTTAGTTCTTCTTGAGCATGCTTATCAATTGTTTTATCTTTTTCAGTCTCACCTTCAAATCTGTCCAACGTGTCATGCAAATGATATGTGTCATGCAAATGATATGATCATGAGAACTTAAATGTTCTTTCAGCCTTCTTGAAAATTTTCTCCAATCATCATAACATGTGGTTGCCAAGTAACCCCAGATTTTTTTATCATTCCTGAACAACTTGCTGCAAAAACAAAAAGTTTTATCCAAAGCTTTCAAGTATATCAACCATCGTCTATCTTATTTCTCTCCATTTACCATATCCCTTGTGTAGAAATGTTTACCAATAGCATCTTTAGGAAATCGATAATCGCTTGAAAACCTTAGTTTAAGACCATATTTTACCAATAAATCTCTCGATTTCATATTAATATTTCCCCAATTTCCAAGATCAGAATTATCAGACATATGTTCTCTTTTCTCCTTGCTCTTGTCCCTCTCTTTTCCAAACTCATCTTGATGAGTTTCTTAATGTTCACTTGATTTCTCATGCTCAACATTATTCCGACCAATATCATTGATATCTTCATCTTCATCTTAGTTTCTTTGAGTGCTAATTAGTTCACTGAAATTATAATTTTTTGGTTGTTCAACTCCATTTACATACCTTAAAAGAGAATTAGCTTGAGACTTTATGAATGCATCATGTTTATCATTTTCCTTTCTATTTTGTAATCCTTATGCTTGACTTCTTATTATTCCAGATGGTTTGCTTTTCTTAGCTTCAGATGATTTATTGTTTTTTTATCTCGAGATTATGCCATTTTTTGTTACAAAAAGAAAAAAAAAGTTATACACAAAATTAAATCAAACATGAAACATGTATGACTACATTCAAATTTCTTTCACGGGTTACGAATCAAAATTAACAAGTAAAACAATCTGAATGAAATTTCAATTCTATTTAAGTAAAAGCTAAAAAATCCAACAGCCCAAGTACCTAATTATTATTATGTTATTCCTTCGATGTTTGATTCTATAGGCTACAGAAAATTATAAACAAAACTTTTATGCCTTTTATGACTTTACACCAACGATTGTTAATGACTAATAATATATTGGGATTAGTGAAAGCAACAGTTTCAAAATTTTGATCAAAGTTTAGAGTTACTATGTATATACCTTCATTTATGAAATCCTTCGATCTTCAATCTTCAATCTTCAATTATCGATTTTAGAATTTCTTTAATGCAAGTAGTTTAAGGTTTTATTTTAAAAAATTTCAGTACAAAACGTTTAATTATTTTAAAATTTTATAGTCCACAACAAATGGTGAAAGAAATTAAGAAAAGCCTAATAAAAATGAAAATATAAAAATGCTTAGATGTTTTATATATATAATAAGCCTTTAGAAAAATTGTAAAATATACCCATATATTTTGATGCCTGAATCCATCGCTTCATGTAATGGGCCAGGCCTGTGTCAGCCCAAATTAAACGAATATAATAATAGAAAAAAATAGTTGACCTAAACACAACACCCAAAAACACATAGTTTCATGTCCTCCTTTCAACAGATAGTCTCATCTTCAACGAGAAACACCACAACACAAACCCTCTCAAATCCAGTGACCTAGTCGAGTTCTTTGTCTATGTTCTCACTAATCCTGGCACAACAATCCCACTTCAGATCTTTGAATTTTGTCACCATAATCATGATGCAAGCACTCCTCCAAATCAAAGATTGGGCGTCATTTACTCGGATTCACACACTCCAGCCATCGGCTAAATCTCCTCTTTCTCCGCTGTCTCTAACATCTCAGATTCTTCCTCCACTTCAAAGAATCTCCTCCCCCATGGCCTCGAGATCCAACAAAACCCTATATTTTTCTCTCGATTGGTTTGATTTTGTGATTGGATTTTGAAGTATTAAGGGGAATTTTGTGTCTGGGTTAGCTAATTTTATAGGTTTATTAAAATTTATGCAAGAAGGATTTCTCAGCTGGGTTATGAGATTAACCAAACGAGAGGAAGAAAAGTTCCACAAAATGTTTGCGTTTATTCCTCACTAACAATTCATGATCCTTTATCAAGCTTTAAGTTCTTAGTTTTGCCTCTATATTGTCTTAATTTAAGGATTTTTGTTCTTCGATGTAGAAGAATCTCAATGTTTACTAGGTGGAGGGTGCTGAAGATTATCCTCGAAGATTTGAATCTTAATGAGGTGATTTTTTTTAGATATTATAAAACCATCAAGATTTTCAGTTTCTTCATATTAGTCAAAACTCACTCACCAAGTGTGTGCTTTTATTCTTCAGTGACAATTTCGTTGTTTATAAGGAGGCTGAGAACTATGATTGCTTGCAAGGTAAGATCTTTATATCTTTTTGATTATAGGTTGATTCTGCTTTCTTTTGAGTGTTATTAGAGTTTTGAATTGTTAAATTTTGAAGTATCATTACAAGCAGTTTGATTAAAAAAAACTAGCTTATATATATGAAAAAGGTTTTTTTATGTCCTTTTCGTTTTTGTTTACTTAAGGTTGAGTTGTTCCGTGATTACTTTTTAAAATCTTAAGTTTTGGTTTTAGATTTTGTTGGTGTTAGGATGTTGTCGTATTTTGATGTCCCATTGCTTACAAAGTTGAGATTAGATTTAGCACGCTCATATCAAGGATTTGATTTTGCTTAGCTTGCTTCATATTTTGTTTTCGTCTTAAGATACTTTGTTCTTCTTTCATTGAATTTTTATGCTAAAAATTTATTGAAACTTTATGTCAATAAAGATTTGGTTATGAATAGATTATTGAAATAAAAAATAGAAAATAGAAAAAATAAAAAATTAGAAATTAAATTTAAAATATTAATTTAAAGCCATTAAAAAAAATTTAACGCTATCATAATAAATATGATAACATATTTCCAACCGCTATAATATATCCTACTAAAATAGCATCCCAAACAATTGTTATCTAAAGTGGCGGACTTATGGTGCGTGCAATGATATAGTGCTTTTCTTAACGCTATGAATTTGTTAAATAGCAATATTTGGCCGCTAGTAAAAGTGAAAATTCTTGTAGTGTAGCTTTCATGGTTCATTGATCTAGGCTTTCATGAAATTATTACTAATCTTTGTTGCATATTGCTAGTGCCATCTTTAGCTTCTAGTTAGTCTGTGAGTTTTTTGGTTTTTGAGTTTCTGAGATGATCTATTTTTCTGAAGTAGAAAACACTTTTATGAAGATCTTTGTTTTCTTGTTTCCTTTATTAGTAAGAGTGACTCTCAGAGCATTATAGTTTAATGGATATTCAATAATAGGTGATAACATTTCGAAACAGATTTGATATCAATAGAATTAATTACTTTATATAGCTCTCCTTGTTTATGCTATGAATGATTTTTATTCCTAGCTTACACATCAATGCTCTTAAATATTATAGTATATGTATTAGATTGTTGTCCATCAGATATCTAATTAGCTAAATCTATAAACTAATACTATAGTAGTTGCTTGATCGTGTGTCTGCTATTAAGACACCTCATGCAAGTTGTTTGCCTCACTTTCATTTTCTAAATATGTTTCTGTATGTTTTACCCTCTGATTACCAGATACATCTTTTGCCAATTTTACGTTTTTTTTTACAAATAATCTCTTATTTTGATTAAAAAAAAACAATTCAGCCCCTTCTCTTCTTTATAGCTACTTCCTCGCTCTTCACATCCCCCTCAGCATATAAATCATAATTATATTCCCTTCTTACCCCCTTAGATTGTGTGTCTTTATATAGTTTTGTAGTTCTTTCCTAGCAGACCAAGTCCAACGTTTAGGAGCATCATAAATTTCTATTACCTAATAATCCAATAAAACAATATAAGGACTTGTCTCCCAGTATAACCAAGAGGTTACATAATCAAATAAAAGTAGTCACTTCATTTAGTACTTTGTTAATGAAATTCTTGAAGGGGTTAAGAGACTGCATCTCGAATTAGAGATCTTCCTCTAAAATTCGACGAAGTGAAGCCATCGTAGTTGTCCTAAAAATAAAGCAAGCCATTACTAAACAGAAAAGTCCATCTTCATAAGCCATGAAAGAGGAAACTTTTAACCAAAATTCATTAATTGCAACCATTAACTTACTCTACATTAGCCTTAATATATGAAGATCTTTCTCTAAGGGCACTCCTTATATCACTTTGCATGATTTATTTATTTCCCTTGTCCTTCATATCTTAGCTACTCACTTGGATTTGTTCTCATCTGTCAAAATAACCATCGCACGGGAGCATTCCTCATAACAACCATTATCGTCCCTATCCTTGTTCAATTTTGGAAGCATCATCATCACCAGCTTCTTCTAAGCACTGCCATCATCAAAGACACAATAATATTCATAGGTGACACTGACATGAGAGGTCAAATGGTTATTATAAAGAGAAAGATACATGAACCTCTCATGTCAATGCACCTTTGAATACTAATGTGTCTTTGTTGATGACAGTGCGTAGAAGAAGCTGGTGATAATGATGCTTCCAAAAATCCTCAAGAAACCGAGAGGAATGTCTGAAGAGCAGGGATAAAAGAACAAGGTTAGGGGCATACTAGTTGTGATGAGGAAATGAGAAAATCCCATGCGATGGTTTTTCTGATAGAAGATAACATATCTAAGAGAGTAGCTAAAGATAGGAAGGGCAAGGGAAATAAAAAAAAGTTTTGTAGAGAGATATGAGGAACCTTACAGAAAGATCTTGGTATATTAAAGCTAATGCAGAGTGAGTTAAGGAATACAATTAAGAAATTTCAGTTATAAGTTTCTCTCTCTTGGCTTATGACGATGAACTTTTTTGGGTAGTTATGGCTAGCTTAATTTTTCAGGACAACTATGATGGCCTCACTTCGTCGAATTTTAGAGGAAGATCTCCAATTAGAGATGTAGTCTCTTGATCCCTTCCAAAAAACACTATGAGGGAAAGGACGCTTCACGCGGTACGATTAGCGACTTCATCCTCTTCCGTGGCTCTTCTAAAATCTGTTTTAATCGAGTTCTTGAGAGATTGTTCAAGCCGAGGCCACTTCCCAACCAACATACACCGACTGACCGAACAGTAAAGGGGCACGTATTTCCATATCACTTTTTCTGAAGTGTTCACGCATTCCCATATCACTTTTCCGCAGTGTTCACGCATTCCCATATCACTGTTCCGCAGTGTTCAAAAAAAAAAAAAAAAAGAAAACCATGTATATATATGTATATATACACCCCCGACATCCTGGCCAGATGATCGGTCCGCGTCAAACGCACAAATTCTTAAGTTTAGGAATAAGCTGAACCCAGAGATTAATGTTTCGCACCTAAAGGTCCCGAGTTCGGGTGGGATAATTAGCCGACCCAGAGAAGTCAATCTTTCGCAACCCATGTCCGAACCGGCACCAAAGGAGGTAAGCCGAGTCCAAAGTTATATCTCGCCCTCCGATAAAGTACATTATGCTCGAGGGAAAAATCCCTCAGTTCGGAGCCTAGAGATATCTCCATATATGTTTAAAACTGTGGCGAACTACGACACTATAAGCCGGGAGACGTCCCGCCAAGTCATGTAATTCTAACCTGAATTAGGTGCTCAGTTAATCCGGAAATATGGATTGTTTTATTCAAAATAGGATGAAACGAGAAGGTTCGATGGCGTCGCGCCAAAACAAATAAAACACATCGGTAAATAATAATAAAAGGAGGCACAAATTGCCTAGTCCACAATTATTGTACCTTTCGCCCCAATAGCAGCAACCTGACGCGTGTCTTGTAATAGGCGATCCGACATCGGCCAAAGCAGTTGCATCCCAGTTTGCTCCCAATCGGCTGGTTCCGTTTCCAACGCCCGAGCTTTCTACTCCGCCTCGTCAAGCTTGAGAATCGCTTTCATTCTCTTCGACTTAAGCTTGGCGACTTCTCCCTCCAACTCGTCCAAACGAACGTCAATCCTCCTCTTTTTCAGACGAAAGAATTGCAGATTCCTGCACTGCTCTTGATGCAAGGCCCGGACCTAACCAAAAAAGCAGGGTAGTTGTTTAAATCTCTTAAAAACGGATATCGATGTTCGAGATATGGAATGGGATAAATACCTTCTTGACGAACACTTCGGCCTCATCCGATTCAGCTTTACTAGCCGAGGTACCTATGAGAAATGCCTTCACTCCTGATGGCGTAAATTCGAGGCATCGCGCAATCCCCAAGGGAGAAGGCGCATTCCGGTTAGCGTCAACGTCTCGCATACATTGCTCGCAATAGGCGAAGAGGCTCGTCGGCATTGGAGCTATGCGCCCAAACCCGAAGGAAATCCAATTCCTCGGATGGGATGCCAGCAGTTTCAACTTGTGATTAAAAGCAGATCTGATCTCATCAACGATGAGAAATTGTTTGAAGTATTGCGTATGTTTGTCATACACGGCCTGGAAGAACTCCTCCAGCCGGAGCTTCTCTTGTCGAGAAAGTCGTGACATCAAAGTTCTGGGAACCCTTATCGTCGGGAACAAGGGCATCCCACGATCGAGCGCTTCTTTCTCGATGAAGGTAGGCGTGTCGACACCGCTGCCGGAGATGATCCGTTGCTCTCGGTCAAGCCGGATTTCTTCATAACTCTTATTGGAAGAACGAAAAGGCACAAGTTTTAAATCCAAGATGTTCTGAACCACCACCAGCCAAGCAGCATATTTATACCTAGCATCGCCGCCCTTTCACTGAGCGAAATTGGTAATTTGGACAACACGATATAGGAAAATCTCCAATTTCGAGCTAATAGAAGGACCATATTTCTACTTCTACGAAAGAGGGAAATAGGTAAAAGTAATACTTCCGCTTTTCGGAAAAATGAAAGCTAGTAGATAAGTAAAATCCCGAAAATATTACAAAAGGGCTCGCGGCCCATCCAAGTTAAAAAATCTTTTAAACAAAAAGAAAAAACAAAAGAGGAAGGACAAAAGAATTTAGACGACTTCTACGTCATCTTCAGGATTGCCCGGATCGGAAGGATGGTCGGCACTGCCATCAGGAGCTCGGAGGTCGGCTTGGAAGTCGGAAGAGAGTTGCGACGGATATTGAGAAAGACTTGCAAGGGTTGATCAGTATGGTCGGTACGCTTCGATTAGCTGCTGTGTCGGATGAGTTAGAGCCGTTGGGTTTGGGAGCAGTAGATCAAGCAGATTTGTTAAGTCGGGTTCGGTTGGCTCAGGAAAAAGATGAAGATTTGATTAGATGGTCGAAGAATGATAAGACTGAATTTCAGACTTCGAACAATGGGACGATCTTGGTAAATGGTCGTGTTTGTGTACCGAAAGATAAGGAGCTACGGGAAGAAATTCTTAAGGAAGCTCACATG